GAGAACAAGTGTATCAGACCAAACGATTATCAATTGCTTTAAACAAAGTACTTTGATTAGTCCAAAGTCTATACCTATACCTGAGTCCGCGCCCGAGTCCGCACCTGAGTCTGCACTATTTTCCGAGCCCGGATTGAGTGATGAGATTGAAAGTCTATATAATCAAGCAATTGATAAGCTTGGTGATAAAGATATTGTGCCATTTGACGAGTTTTTGAACCCTTCGGACGAAGACATGTTAGAAGATGGGACTGAAGGGCGAGATGAGACCAATGAGCAAGATATATATATTGCCCCAACAACCTCAGAAATTCAGGATATTGACATTGATGGGCCCCCACCTGAGCTTCTGTCTAATTCTGCTATATTGGACAGCCTCCAGGATATCCTACTATGGGTTTGTAGCAAAGAAAAGGGTACCTCGGACCATATTAGACAAATTGAGAGCTTAATCAACGACTTTGGCAGGATTCAGATTGATGAGAAACGTCAGGTGACTTTGGATCAGATGATGGGATGGAAGACTAAATAGGTATTAGGGCTTAGAGTTAGCTTGTCAAATATTATGTCATCCTCTCAGCAAAACACAACTCAATTATACCACGTAATTTGGCTTGGATAGTATGCTGTGGTATAAGCGAGAGTTGACTGTACTCAAGACCCACAATCGCTGAATAGTCTATGCAGTTAGTATTGTTAGAACGAGCACATGTCAGTTCTAACGGTAGCCGTGTCACAGGACCGTATCCTACCCAAGGGGTGGGGGTCGTTCTGTGACGCGGCTATACTGTGGGCTAGGCTTTGACCCCCACAGACGCTTTTAAAGCCGACATTGTCCATTGTACATGCTAGGGCTGGCAGAGTATGATCTGATAAATACCGCCCACCTAGCAAGAGTTGCCTTGACAATATCTTTTGGGGGACTGCATGGCCAAATTCGACGTACTACCGGAATATTGATATCCGCTGTAGTACGACGGAACTCTAATGTTACGGAACGACGACGAGAATACACTAATGAGGTAAGAGCGCAAAATGCACAGCGGTTTAGGGGCGAATGTTCGAAAAAGACGATCAACGCGTCTAAGACTGAAAGAGACTAGGAGGCTTGCTTGCGCTGAGATAAACACATGGGTAAAAAACACCACGTCTGTGTCACAGGGAGGAGGTCCGTTCTGAATAAGACAATGCGTCTCAATGCACAACTACGGTCCATTAAAATTACCCTGCTCAATAAGGAGATGTAGATCGGCCTATAAGCATCCTGTTCTAGGGGTAAGTCTCCGCCCCATTTTCTCGACCTGAAGTAAATAAAGTATGGGCTCTTCCACAGAAAGTAGGGGGTGTGCCACGCAATCGGAAAGCAGATTCCGTGCAATGTTCAATTAACTTTCTTTGTGGGATTGTGGGTAATTTAGGGTTGCTTGAACGACTAAACCCATCAACCTATGTTATGATCTCCTTGGGCTAACGAGAAATTCCATGAGCTAAAATTTCTGGCGCAAACACTAAGTATTAACAAACATCATTATGTCCATATCTGCAGTTAAAGGTGATATTTACGACAGTTTCATGGATCTAGAAGACAAAATGAAGCTATCTATTGCAAGTCAAAGGAGAATAACTGAGGACAAAATCTACCGGCCTCATTGCTCAGTCAACTGAGATGCTGATCGTGTATAATTACACTCCGCATAAAAAGCCTGTCTGGGATAGGATGCCTGCGCTCTTGTGGAGATCCTTCGACGAGCAGTAGCAATACCAATACTCGGTCGGTTTAGATAGCACGAATGCGAGCAAGGTGATTTTAGTGCTCGATTAATGGTACTCACCTACGATCAAGTAAAAATCATGTTTCAGCTGGTAGATGCAGGGAAGTATATCGTGTTTAGCCAAGTGTATCTTCTCTCCATTATCTAGATCGCAAGAATGACTTCAGATATCGCCCTGTATGAAAAGAAATAAGGTCAAGTGTACTTTAACAACAATCTGAGATAGCAATTCAAAATACTCTCGCAACCCGCACAATCCAACCTCTGAAAAGGTGACAGATTTCCCTAGACCAAGTAGAGTCATTGATAATCTTAAGAGCGACGCGTCTACGAGGGCATCTTGAACTGGTTGACATTAATGGAAATCCGCGTTCTCTTTTTATCCATTTGTATTCTTCTTTTTATCATCTGTATCGTTGAAATCACGCTAGGTATGGCCCGCATGAACAATAACTGAAATTTATACGATTGAATAATGGTGCATTTTGATATCTTTTTATCTTTATTTTTATTTTTCCCCTCAAATCCTGCTATTGCAAGAATGTGATGAACAGATACGGTCATATGATTGTTTATTTTTGACATTTATCACCAACTGAATTCAATAGTCACTCAATAACTCGTCCATTCCTGTGCTATTTCTTCGTAACTATATGAACTGTTCCTTCTTTTCACGAGTGGAAGCGAGTTCGGATTTTCGCACCAAGGAAGTAAAGTGGTAGCACGAGCAGGTAACTCGCCCACAGAGCTCCTGCCATAGCACCAAATTGCTTTAGAGGACCATCACGTAAATACCAATCCATTGACCGGAATGACACACCAAATGCCAGAAGGTTTTTGATGACGTTCACCATCAACGCTGTATGTGCAGCACGGGTGGGATAACAGTCAACCGCGTAAGTGAGGAGAATATTAGCAGATGCAGTCAGACCAAGTGACAGCATACCCCATCCAATGGCTTGTCCAACCCAATGAGTGTGATAGCTCATAGTGAGCCCAATAATGAGAGCACCAGCAGGGCTGAGAAAACCACCAATGGTGACTATGAGTAGTCGACTTTCCGGGATATGAATACCCCCATGTCGTTTGGCAGAACGGGCCGACAATCTGTCTGCTAAAATGCCGCCAATTGGAAGACCAATCATCAGTCCAACCAACGGAGCGATATTCAAAAAGCCGACGGCTCTTGCAGTCCACAACATGGGTGGCTTTTGGAAGACATTGGAGAACACAATGGAGCAGGCAACGGTCCATCCAATTGTCAGGCCAAATACAATAGTTGTGACGAGAACAGCAGGCTTAGAAAGCATCAAGAAGGGCACATATAAACACTGGACTGCAGTTTCATCTCGGTTCCAATCTGAATTTTGAACCTTGAAGGATCGCGATACCCATACATCATGAAGATTATCCTCTTGTCGGGGGTTAAAGGCGATTTCAGAATTTTCGGTAAGCTCAGCATCCCTCTTGGAGACTGGCTCCGCAAGCTGGTTAGGAAAGCTGATGGACTGTGAGTTAGTGGTAGTTTCCGGGAGCATCAGGATGCAAAGCAGCATGATGGCCCCAGCAAAAACTGCCAGGAACGTAAAGTACCATTGCCACTCGCCCGTCGCGGTTCCGATAAGCCCAGCTACAACGGGTCCAATAGCGGATCCGGCTGCCAGGAATCCTACATAGATGACCATGGCCGAAGCAAGGTGTTTCTCGTGGAATATTTCCACAATAATCTCTGGGCCGAGGGCTTCGACGACTCCCCCGGAGAGGCCACCAACGAGTCTTGTCGCCATGAGTGAATGAAAGGTCGTCGCGTACACGGCCCAAGCATTGGAAGCAGTGAACACAGCGAGAGAGATGAGGATTGTATATCGTTTCCCGATGTATTTGGATGCCACAACCGCGAACATGTTCTGCCTTTGCTCAGATTACTTCGTCAACATACGATAGGATTCTCACGTACCGAAATCCCAAGGGCCAGCAGGGCATATGATGACAAAGTAGAGACTTGGCCAGTGCTGACTTTGAAATCCACGATGATCAGGCCGAAGAGGGGCGTAATGCCGGCAGCAAACATGTTACCCAACATGGTGTAGGCACTGACATTAAACAGAACCATTATTCGCCACCACAAAGGCCAATCCTGCGTATTTCTTGATTAGACACAACGCAGAAGGGTTTGAGGGTAGTCCAGATTCCATACGCGGGGGCTGGTCATCGCGCCGTTCGGTGAAGATGCGTGTGCCATGGTTTCTGCAACCACCAAGCAAGGTTGGCTCCAAAGTCAGCGTCACTGAATGTGAAAATTCGATGAGATTATGAACGATCGAGTCCTTTGAAAATAATGATAGCTTGAAGTACAGCTGTCATAGATCGCAGGGCGATGAAATGTTGCAGGAAAAAGAAGAAGAACAAGGGCCTTTTTAAGTATTTAAATTCAGAACCAGGAAAACAGTGTATGGTTATCTGTATTGATAATGCAACGGCTCGAACGGGCAAGCGAGAACCTACGCCCCATTGTATGTCTCAATTCCAGCTCCCGGCCTATCCGCTATATTCCCCGCCAACAGTAACATCGTGTGGCGCACTGAAGACCGGAGGGAGGGTCTTGACTCTAGCTAGACATTGCGGGGAAGTCCGGGGTCGAAGAGGGGATTGTCGGGGCTTGTCTGACATTTTACAACAGAGTCAGCACTGACCCAAACTATATCAAGAGGCAGAGGTAATAGAGTTAACCCACTTCCAATGGGAAGCGATCTGAAGATTCCATAAATTAACCCCAGACGCTTGTCCTCCGTGGTATCCGGTATCCGGTATCCGGGATCCGATTTTCGGTTCCTCTCCGGGGAGAGAACGGATCATTCCCCTTAAACGTTCAATATCCCCTATTTCAACTTTACTCTAGTTGGTAAACCCGTGGTCTCGATTTACCATTGGCTATAACTATTGGATTTCTTGTGTCGTCTGAGCCACAGCCGGGAACTTCGGAAAGGGACAATACCAGCTCCTTCTGCTTTCCGATATTCGTTTCAGCTGATATTGGACAAGGATCCCAGAGCCACACCGTCTTTCACCGCCATACCAATGATTTTGGTGAGCTTATGGGCGAGTAGGTGACATCTAGATACACATGGTAAGAATTACACAGGGTCCCATCGGTGTATTTCTCTGACATACCATTTGTACATGTACTTGCACTGTTCGTTACAATCGTAATGGCTTCTTCCCCTGTAGAAGAGCATCCCGGGAACGTGGACAGCGCGGCGCAACTGCTGCAGGGTCTCGAATATAGCAAAGCCTGTCCATCTGGACCCAGATGGCGAAAGTGAACCCTCCCCCCTCCCCCGGAAGTTGAACCTCACGGCTGTTCCCTTCGTGTGGGTGTATGACAGCATCCGCTCTAACCTGGTGCGCGACGGTCACTTAGTCACCCAAAAGGAGGAAGAGCGGAGAGTCCTGATACTGTGAACCCTGGTTGAAGTATGCCCCCAGCTGGTATGGTTGGCGTGGCGTAGAATTGTTTAGAATTGTTAGTGACACCTCGAGTAGATGCCCCCCATGCCACGGATACGTTCTACGCTGGCCTGCAACTGGTGATGCCGGAAGAGACCGCCCCAGCCCAGCGACATACCGCCTTCGCGATGCGCTATATTATAGAGGGTAGCGGAGGCTTTACGGCGGTGCATGACAGACGCATCCGAATGCAGAAAGGGGATGCAATTCTGACACCTAATTGGAACTATCACGATCACGGCAAGGATAGCAGCGGCCCGCTTATCTGGCTGGACGGCCTGGATCTGCCCAATTTCCGACACTTGCCAGTTCACTTTGTCGAGCACTTCAATGAGCCTCGCTACGCGGCCAAGGGTCTCAACCAGACTGCCTCTCAGATGATCTTCACCGGGGGCCAATTGAAAGCTGGGTTGGATGAGATGGAGGTTGATTCGGCCACACAGCGCTAGCAGAAGGCCGATGATCGAGAAGGTAACCGCTCTGGTCCCAAGCTTTCTCGCTGACAGTTTAACTTACGAGGAGAATGATAGTGAGCCGTGCGTGTTCTGGGCGGCAGTGCAGTGCAGAGGCTCAATGCGACCACGTCGTCCTCACTCCTGCAAGTCACCATCTCTGCCGTTTATTATGTGAATCACTGTAGATGAGGGGGCCGCTGCTGAGACTCAGAACATATTTCATGAAGTTCTGAAACAGAATTAATTCGATTTACTAGGCTAACATGCTGTTTACAACGATCCAGAAGATTTTCTGAAGAAAACGGGATCAAGGGTTTCTGTTAGAGCGGTAAAGGGACCAAGACAAAGAGAAGGTGTCACTTTTTCCTGTATCCGGCCAATTGGATATCAATCTGTTTTTCCATTACCCTCACCGACGTATTGCACATGCGAGCCGGCGCACACAAGCGAGGTGCGTACCCCACCTAAAACGCTCAATTTAATTAGTCCCCTTTATTCAACCAGCCACCATGTCACCGATTCGCTCCGAAACTCTCAAAATTGTGCAAAGCAAGAGGTTAGGATCTCATTAGCTATCCAGGCTATTAAGAACAAAGAAATAAGCCCTGTTCGTGAAGCAGCAAGTCTATTTGATGTACCGGAGACCTCTTTACATCGCCGTCTAAAAGGCCACAAAACACGCAGCGAAAACACGCAAATGGCCATAAATTGGCAGAAATTGTGGAGAAATCTCTTCAAAAATGGATTATCTCTATTGTTTCTTGCGGAGCAGCCCCTCTTCCAACAAGCGCTATGAGCTCATGCCAGGTTTTGCCCTGGGAAACTGACGTATCACATTTTTTAACGCGTCGCCAGCTCTCACTTGATTGAGTAGTAAATACGAATCGTCGGTTCTTCATTGTACTGTTCGCCAGTTCCTGTTGGCAGTCATCAAACACAATAATGAGTGCATATCTATAAGTCGATATTGTGTAAACGTTCGCACAGTGCGCCCGTGACCAAGGCTACTGTAGCTTAAGGTCGAAGGCAAAACTGATGTTCACGGAAATATGTCACCCGCAATGGTTACATCAGTGAGCCCTCCGACTAGAAATAGAATTGAAAGGTCGTGCAGGCTGATTTTTTGCGAGACTGAACATGCGGCTTATGGAATGTGGGAGACAACCTACGGGCATAAATTACGCTGCTCTTAGTAAGTCGTCCCTTGCTATTTTGCAGTTTATGAATAAATTATTTGATGTGCTACGATTTCTCAACAGGGGCGACATCACATGCGGGTTGCTTTCAGTCCATAGTGGCTCAACGTAGGAAGGTTTTCTATTTTCCCTACAACATTTTGACCTATAATTGAAACTAACATAATTATAAAGCCGAATATTTCATGCTTAATAGGACACCAAGCTCTCCACATCCATTTGCTCCGTACGATAGAATCCAAGAGCTGTAATCATTGGCTTATCATCAAAGCGGTATAAGTAAACCGACTCGCCCTGGTTGGCAAAGTGCTGGTACTTGTACCATGAAGGAATGCAGAATGTATCTCCGGACTTCCATCTCAATGTCTCATCGCCAACCTTGGAAATGCCGCTTCCTGCGATGACATGATATACGGCGGATGTAGTCTCACGGCGGGAAGGGGACGATGTGGACGCGTCTAATCTTTCTGCGCAGCCACCAAGTGTACGGCTTACTTTATATAATGACATATTAGCACCATCGGACAACTCCTCAACAACATAATGAACAAGGAAAGGGAGGGAAATAAGTACCTTCACTTCCGTCTTCCTTCAGATATCGCCGGGTTGTCCAGGTACCATGATCCTGATCGAGCATGCTTTTCATGCGAGTCCAAGGGAACACAATAGGCGAAGCATTAGTATCAACATTTTCGGCAGGATATCGGGGCTGCTCAAAGTGGTTGACAAAGTGGACGGGGAAATGTCTAAAATTAGGCAAATCGAGACCATCCAGCCAGATCATAGGTCCATTTCCATCCTTTCCGTGATCGTGCCAATTCCAGGTCGGCGTGAGTATCACATCTCCCTTTTGCATCTGGATTCTTTTTCCATGAACGGCAGTAAACCCTCCGTTGCCTTCAATGATGTAGCGCATGGCAAAGGCAGTGTGCCTGTGAGCTGGAGCAGTCTCATTTGGCATAACAAGCTGCAGTCCAGCATAAAGTGTGTCGGTTGTGTAGGGAGCATCTGTACAATGGGTATCAGCTCACTAGGAAAGATGATTCCAACAATCAGACCTGTTAGAGGATAAAGGTATCTCACATACCTCTAGTGGGATTGATCAACATCAACACTCGTCTTTCGGCCTCCTTCTCGGAAACGAGTTTGCCGGCCCTGAGCAAGTTTGGGCGAATGCTTCCGTAATCCCAGACATATGGGATCGCCGTTGGATTGGGCGCAGGCGGGTTAAGCCGAGTCATCTGAGCCCAAAGCGGGAGTGTTTTGCTATTTTCAAGATCTTGGAGAAGTCTCACGGTTGAATCAGCCCCTTTGGGAGACTGTTTTTCCGATGGTTGAGCCATGATAAATTATCTGGTCGAATAGCTAGCTTTTACCGTTTCCAGAGCCAAATACAGTGAGCCAACGAACTCAATGAAGTTGATCAATCCAGATATTTTGTATACTAGAATTTCCATACAAGGCCTGTGATAGGCTTTATATCTTTCACAACTGGACCGCATCTTTCGAAGGTGGGAAAGGCCGGAGATAAACCGGGAAAGCTCACCCGTGGCGGGGAAACCCCGGAAAGAGGGAAGGAGGCCTGATTATTTCGAGTTATATACTTAATCACACCAGGACCGTGAATGGAGACGCCTCGTTAACCAAATTACAGTAGAGTTGAAAGCAAATATGAACCTAAAAGAGGTCTCACACAACCCCTTGGTTTCTAAGGCGCTCAGCGTGAGTCTCACCGCACGCCAATTGATCTGGAGCCGTTCGTGCTTATTCTTGCCTTGCAGATGCCTACATACCCCAGCAATTGCTTGGAATTTGCGAAGCCATTTTTCTCTTCGGTAACTGATTCCCCTGACTACCTGCAAAGTGCCAAGGTGCCTTTGAATATCCTCCTGGTCGGTGCTGGATTGGGTGGTCTTGCCACAGCCATTGCGCTCACACAAAGTGGCCACAAAGTCACGGTGTACGAGCGGACCCCCGTACTTGGAGAGGTGGGGGCTGGGATTCAAATCCCGTCTAACTCTACTAGAATACTCTTCAAGCTGGGCCTAAAGTCATATCTGGCGCCTTACGTGGCCGAACCCGAATCCATTTCATTCAGAAGATGGCAAAGCGGCGAAGTCATCGGCAACACGAAGCTGGTCCCTGATTTCACGCAGAATTTCAGTGCTCCATACTACGTAATCCACAGGGCCCACTTTCATACCGCGCTATACCAGAAAGTTCAGGACATGGGAATTGAAATCAAATTGGGGGCCAACGTCGAAAGTTATGATCCAGTCGCCGGAAGCATCACGCTTGCTGATGGGATAACCCACACCGGAGATCTGGTCATCGCCGCTGATGGTTAGCCGCCCTTGCGCACAGCCTTGAAATTTTTACCTGACCTGCATCACTATAGGGATCAAGTCCGTTGCTCGCACCGTCGTGCTCGGCGGAGTAGATGTGACTTTCCAGAAGCCTGGTTTTGCAGCCTACCGCGCCACGGTAGATGTGGAACGGATGCGAAAGGATCCCGATGTTTCATGGGTTCTTGAGAAGCCGGGTCTCAATATTTGGTACGGGCATGAGGACATGCATATGCTATCCACCCGTCTATCACCTACTAACTTATATTAAGGATTGGCGATTCGAGACATGTCATGACGTATACTATAAAGGCTGGAAAAGCATTCAACATGGTTCTATCTCATCCAGATGCCACTGACCCATCCACATGGGACCCCAGCAAGGCCGTTGAGGATATGAAGGCCGAATTCGAGGGGTGGGATCCAGTGTACGTATTGATCCTGTTGCTTTAATTTGTTTTCTACTTTGTTTTCCAAAGAATATGAAGCTTACCACCCCTCAACAGACTCACAAAAGTTATTGATATGGTAGAAAATACACTTAAGTGGCCCCTCTCTAGCGGCTTGACTCTCGACAAATGGGTGTCAAACAAACTCGTCATCCTTGGGGATGCTGCACACGCAATGTTGCCCTATATGTCGCAAGGCAGGTTTTTAGATCGCCCCTTGCCTAATACCGAAATACTGACAAGTGTGAGCAGGTGCCGCTATGGCCGTTGAAGACGGACTAGCACTTTCCCGATCCTTGTCCAAGATCGGAAACAAAGAGCAGCTGGCGGAGGCTCTTTCTGTTTTCGAAAAGGTCAGGATAAAGCGTGCCGGTCAGATGCAGGAGGCTAGTCTGCTTAACAGTCATCTCTGGCATTTTGCCGATGGCCCTTTGCAAGAGGCAAGAGATTCAGCAATGGCTCCCGAAGTGTTGGGAATCGCCTTTAGCCACAGCCCCAACCAGTGGAGCGACCCTGCAACTCAGATGTGGTGTTATGGATATGATACCGAGAAAGCTATTGATGAGGCATGGGAGAAGAGCCACTTTTAGGATAGGTAGAATTAGATTCTCGCCATCCTCGTTTCTGCCAGTAATTTCATACTTTCTTGCGTGGCATACACTCTATTGCTCTACGTACAGTGTTAACTAGCAGCCCATCCTTGCCAGCAGACAGTCGACACGATCCGTACTTTCTTCGGAAGCCCCCATACCGGACTTCCATCTCTTCAAAAGTTTGGTTAACTCGAAGCTTCCCACAAAAGAACAGTACGGATTTGTACCAAGCAGTATTCTGGTGCTTGTCTAGCTTCATAGATTTATCTGAATATCTTGGCTTCTGCGCAATAACTAAGCCTATAAGGTAGCCAGCCTCTTATTCGCAAATTCGTTAAGAACAAATAGAGCTGGTTGGGCACATCCTGAGCTTGGAAACAACGCGACCCAGAATGATGTCATAATGGTTTTTGGGATGTTCGAATTAACTGTTTTATTATGACATTATGTTTTTCCCTTTTTTCCCACTTGAAAATTGCTATTGTTATGTTGGAGTCTTCCTGCAATTTAGCAGAGCTTTTCGATGCCATCTTAGCTGGCACTCCACTTTGTTGCAACCCTGGGCCTATGTGAAATCCAGCAATCTCGGAAGTGATACAGATTATATATTGGGTGAAGGGCCGATCGCGATTATTACAGACAACGTTTGAAGCTTACGCGCAGCGCGAAATCGGCCTATGCTCAAAGTGGAATCTGGCTAGATCAATTAGCCGGTTATGTTTGCCTAGCGAACCGTCTCTGTTTCCGTATGTTTGCTCTCACCGGTAACTCCGGAATAGGTCCCGATCTATCCCCGTCCGCCGAATCTGCCAACGAATCTTCCGACAGCCCCTCCTCTTATATAGTTTACCTATTTCAATGTTAATGGGGGCGAAGGTTCGCTAACGCTTCCCATACTATTTTATATTTTCATTCTACTATGTCTCTTCCGTGGATACGCCTGATCCGGTTCGAGGCAGTCGACGGCCGTATCCTGCGGGGGGAGCCTGTAATACCCGAAAGCAAACAAATCGACCTCGGTTTTGTCACAGAAGCTGACCACCTTCAGGCCAGAATCCTTGTCGGTGACGACATATTTGACGTAACAGGCGAGACCAAATTGTCAACGGAGATGGTATTGGTCAAGAAGATCCTCTCGCCCTTGGCCTCTAGCGACGTGCCTATTTTGCGTTGTGTGGGTTTAAACTATGCCAAGCACAGTTCGTACACTCTGATTATCCATGCACTGCTTTAGCACCGTCAAAGTAGGCTAACATGAAAGCTTGTATCTAAGTCAAGGAAGCAGGACGCAAGCGCCCCCCGTTCCCATTCATTTTCTTTAAGCCCAACACCACTGTCCAGGATCACGGTGCAGCTGTTGTGATCCCCAAGGTTGCGCAAAACAACCAGGCTGACTACGAAGGAGAATTGGTTTGTCCTAAATTTCTAGCTAGCATTTGTAAGATTTTCTAACCTGACAAACCTTATATTAGTGCATGGTGATCGGGAAGGACGCTAAGGATGTCCCAGTGGAGGATGCCCTGGATTATGTCGCTGCATATACTGCTGGGAATGACATCTCCTCGAGAAAACTTCAACGGGATCCTGCCTATGCTGGCGTTGTTCCCCAGTGGGGCTTTTCTAAGGGCTTTGACACCTTCGCTCCTCTCGGCCCAGTGTTGGTTGCGGCCTCCGAGATCAAAGACCCGAGTTTACTACAGTTGAAGACATTTGTTGATGGTGAATTGCGCCAAGAAGAAGGTCTATCCGATTTATTATTCGACTGCAAATATTTGGTCTCCTTCTTGTCTCAAGGTACTACACTTCAAAAGGGTAGCGTGATCATGACTGGTACACCTGGCGGTAAGTGCATGCAGCCATCCACCCTGAACCCCTCCGTCCACGAAATGCAAGTGGAGCCAATTAAGAAACTGTCACTTACTTTATTTCAAGGGGTCGGTGCCGGTTTGAATCCTCCAAAGTACTTGGTCCCTGGAACCCAAATGGATGTGTTTATCTCAGAGATTGGCACGTTGAGGAATGACGTAGTTTTCGCTTGAACACTGGAAGTTACATGAAAAATAATATATATCCCATTCTTTATTAAAATAATATTAAAATAATATTAAAATAACCAGATCGAGATCCCGGAATAATTCTTGATAGACCGTAACGGCTGTGCAAAGTCAAGATTCAATCTGCGATCTTTGTTCGTCAGAGCGCCGAATTAATTCTCTCTGCTGTAAACGCAAACAACGGTGGCGAAGCTTTAGTTCTACCGCATAAGCGTGCGAAATTGGCGAATTCGAATTTGGTTTTGGCTTTCCAAAACAAAATTCGCCCATGGTTTAGCTGACCGTTATCCACGGGTTGGGCCTGGGCTGGTTTTGGCGAGGCGTAGTCCTGACTGAGTTCTAAACACTGGGTCCGGACTTTCCCTGCCCAGCGCCTCCCCCGACTTCCCCCCGACTTCACTCTTCCCTCCATTACTTCCAACCCCACTAGCGCAGCAGCAACAGCAAGGCACAAGTAGTACCAGCCCTCCTGTATGGAGCCGCCGTCCAATAAGCCTACCCTGCAAGGGCCATCGGGCAAACGTCGCCGCGTAGCCTTGGCTTGTGAAGTATGTCGCACGCGAAAGTCTAAGGTAGACAGGCACCCTTTGACCGTCACGCAGCAAAAATGAGACCTCCCACTGATCTCTGCGTCCCTAGTGTGATGGCGTCCGGCCCCAGTGTGGCATGTGCAGAGACTTGGAATTTGAATGTATCTACATGCCACCAGTCACTGCCACTAACGTGATCGTCCAGAAACAGTGAGTCACGACGTATCCAGTTCTTGTTGCTTCCGTGTGCTTATCAGTCCTTAGCTACCTCCAAGATATGGAGTCACGGGTGAAGTCGCTTGAGGTCAGCCTCACCAACATTCGATCGGACCTGTCTGGCCTGGCGGAGCACCTCACAAACAGAAGCCCCGTGGGCGAAGGTCCGGAGCCTAGACATGAGCCTCTTGCTGACCTGGCTGGAACCGAGGACCCAATTGACGCTATGGGCGCGGTGACCTTCGCAGATGAGGAGGACTGCGGATATTTTGGTGCAGCAATCCGTCTCCGATCCGTCTAGCCGTTATACTAATGGGAAAGTGGTACAGGCCCGTCATCAAACATCGCGTTCTTGCGGCACCTATCCCGCGCGGTGTCATACACAGGAAGCAACCAAAAAGAAACTCACTCACCTCGGATAAACCAAATTGCCTACGATGGCGGCTTTGTCAGCGCCACCCGGCACCCATCGCCGTTATCAAGCCGCACGCCTACGACTGTGCATCCCGGGCTCGCGACGAATCTAGCCTTGCCGTCCGATACATTACAGCTGATTCGCCGGTATTTCTACCATACGGGATTGCTGTTCCCATACATACACCCCCCGGGCTTCCTCGAGGTGTATCACCAATTCAAGAACAATGTCAGGAAAGTCCGCCGAACCTGGTTAGGCTTGCTGAACATCATGCTGGCCATGGCAAAGGTGACCGCCGTGTCCGGCCACGCGCCTGCAGAAACAAGGATCGAAGAGTCCACCGTCTACTATCGACAGGCGTTGAACCTGTGCCGAGGCGAGATTCTACGAGGGACCACATTGGAAGTTGGTGGGTTGGCGCACCTCTTTTAACCTTAGCGCACCAATTAACCTTCCCTTAGTGCAGTTCCTCCTGCTCATGGGCCAATATCTCCAGGGGACGCAAAAATCCGTCCAGGCGTGGACCGTTCACGGGCTCGCGGTCAAGGCCGCCCTGCAGCTCGGGCTCCATTCGAAGGACGCGTCCCAGGCCTTCTCCCCTCTTGAGCGCGAGATACGAAAGAGAACATGGTTTGGCTGTGTGGTATTGGATCGGTACTCACCCCTTCGTACTTCGCGAGTGTGGCTCCAACTAATCGCTCCGTAGAACTTTGAGCATGACCTTCGGACGACCGCCGGCGATTCCCGACAGTTATGTTCAGCTAGACCTCCCGATCTTAGATAGTACCACCGAGGTCCAACCTTTCGTCGACAATGAGACCATACATCACAGCATCCAGTTCTATAATTGCACCATGTCAGTGGACCCCGCATCTCCCCCGTTAAATTGGCCGCGCACTGACCGTGTACAGAACCCTGTACAAGCAGATGGGTAATATCATTGACCAGATCTATGGTCAAAATTTGGCCTGTGGGCCTGGCCTGTCTGTTAGTGAGACGGTGGGCCGGGTGCTGGCGATCGAGAACCAGCTGTTCTCGTGGAACATGGCGCTTCCGGACAGCTTTCGTCAATTATCGCTGCAGGGCCTTCGCAAGGGAATTGAGCAGTCGCAGGCCCTCGGCCGGCTGTTTCCCCTGAAGTTTCGGGTTATCCTGACCCTGCGATATCTCCACATCCAGATCCTGTTGCATCGGCCTATCCTGGCGAAGTTTCTCGACGCCAGCCACGCGTCTTGTCTGGAGCTCAGCGAAGAGCGGATTCTGAATGACATCGGCTACAGTAGCATGAAAAAGTGCGTCGAATCAGCTATGGGTATTATTGACATGGTCCACGAACTTGTTTCTGGGACTGGGTGGCAGCAAGATCTCCTTGGGGCGTGGTGGTACTCCCTGTACTACAGTAAGTTTGCCCTCCTCCACTTCCGTTGTAGTTTACAGGTGTCTGATCCTCTGTTGTTTGACGGGACAGCCTTCAACGCTGCGCTGGTAATTATCGGTGTGACTTGGGTGCAGCGCACGAGGCAGTCGGCCCGAGATTCCCCAGTGCTCCAGACGCTGGACATCCTGATATATCCTGATCGCGCCGTCGCAACCTTGCATCAATTAGATACGGGCAATCGGATGGTGGACCGCTGCAGGTACTACCTCGAACAGTTGATATCTGTCCTACGTTTACAACGTAAGGCATTCTGGGCACCACGTGGACTCGATTACGCTAATCAGATCGCGCAGCAGAGGATCCGACTGGTACAGACCCCACCCAGCTTGAACCGGCAGCCGTGGGCAGTGCGAACCCAGATTTCAACTTTGCGTCGTTTGGCATTGAATGTGGGGAATTCATGTTGGAGGAATTGTTTACCAACATCACACACGGATCGACTTATTGACGTTGTCAGCCTACGTCCTTATTGACCGCGCCTACAGTCCTCAAGCGTGAGCGGGTAAGGATGGCTCTGGAATAGCATTGTTTCGATCCTTCAAAACGACTACACCTACAATGCAGTTTACTAGTATTACTCTGTCTGTGGTTCAGCATCTCTCCATCCACCCAGCTTCCATGTGGATTCTGGCCTGCACGTGAGCGAAGTTTTGCCTGTCCCGCAGATGGAGTTTGCTGGCTATCATCTCATAATTATTAAACAGCATTAAAATATATCCCCCCATCTCCCCCGTGGTCGAGTTCCTTCCACGGGATAAAGACCGGCTCTTGGACAAGATGGGGTTTACCGGGAAATAAGACCTCAATTTGCCTTGTAGCGTTGTACAAGGGAAACCGCACAACACTCCCCCGTTCGACACAGCCCATTTCAGATCGGTACCCAGCTGCGAGCCCGTCAGACCGAAGTAGCAGTGGCGATAGGGAGGGTGGTGAACCGGCAGTCGATCGGGTAGAACTGAAATGTTGCGCTATTTGGATAGAAGTGCGATGTTGAGCGCAAGGGAAAGGTTGTTCGCGTAGCGCTACATGATGAGTACATTGCTCATTCGCCCGTCTTCCTTGCTTCAATCGCTTGCATCGTCTGATTCCAACATTGGCCGCTTCTCCACTTTTATCTGCATTTAACGGAACGTCATATAGCGTATATGTGGTAAATTGTCACTCGTCGGCTGTCTAGATAGGTCCAATCCACTACCTTAATCGAGCCATGAGAAATTGGGCTGACCACAAGATTCCAGGTAGGAATTTGGTATTGTACCAAATAGAAGCTTTCATTCAAATTGAATATGGCGTTCGAGGGCAAGCAGCGCTCCTCACTCAGTGGCAGGAACCTCGTCATTTCACATCTGCCTTCCCTATATTGTTTCCCATGGGCCCCGGCCGGGGAGCTTAGTTGAAGGGGGTAACATAGTGAGATTATTTGTGAGGCGTAATAGACTCATCTGGGAACCTGCCACCCTATTGGCTACAGGAAGTTAATCGAAGTGGATAGGACAAAGCAAAACTCTTGCCACACCTTAATCAAGTGTGCCGGTCTTGGGCATTTGTGGATCATTTGAGGCAGAGTTGCCTGTAACCAAGGTATTAAAATAAAGCACGCTTGATGTCAGGGATTGCATTGTAAGTATCTTCTACACTCGTACACGCCCAGGGGGGATTCAGTATACAAGCAGTTATCAGTGCTCTACTGTCTGGCTGGCCTTGGTCACGAATATTACTGTGCGCTGGTTTCAAATGGCTATTCTCGGCTTGATGAAAGTGAGTGGACCACCTCGGGTCACACAACCAAAATCACTACAGACTTTATTGGGCATGGCTCGGGCTCAGCTGGTCTTCACTCCTCGGGTGATTGTATTCAAGGTACTATCGCCGATGGTCTCAGTGATGTTAAGTGTCGATCTGGGGAATAGGGATTGCAGTGGATTCCTGAAATTGTGGGCCTGGTGAACACGTATATTAATTCGAGAGGTATTCGGATTTTTCGCCTCATTTTTCTTTATTTACTCGACTTCTTTCCCTTTAATTATAGATATAACTTTACTCCTCTGTGGAAACATACACTGGGCACTAAGGAAGAGGTGCCGAGGATACGAATCACAAATAGCGAATGCGATACGGACGCACTCTGGGAGTACGAGACGCTGCATATAACACAGGACGGGGCCACTAAATTCGTCGAGATTTTCACAGTAACTCCCGGGTATGCCGCCTGCTTCTCTAGCTACAGGGGGCCAGGCGAGACGAGGCTCCGCTATCGGTGTATGCGGCTCAGCTCAACCCCCAAGTGTGAGAAGTCCTTGGAAGACCCCCCCCCCCCCCAATTCTTTCTGGGGGCCAAAATCCGGGCATTTCCATGGTCTGAACCTATTCGTGCCAAGTCACAGACTTGCTTTGCAGGAACTCTTCGTAGCCTACGGCTCCTCCGAAGCGACCGAAGCCGCTGCTCTTCCATCCACCGTGGGGCAGGACAGACTCGTCGTGCACAGTCACTGAGTTGATGTGGACGGCACTAAGAAAACATAGTTAGCACTTGTTCAAGCGGCTCCGAAATACGGTATGATGTGATGAATTCACTCACCCCGAGTCAATCTCCTTCGCCACCCGTAATCCGCGGAACAGGTTCTGGGTGTATACCGCTGCGGTGAGGCCGTATTCTGTGTCATTAGCAAGCGCGATAGCGTCCTTTTCTGTGTCCACCACCATGAGCGACACGGTCGGTCCGAACGACTCGGCCGCGTAGATATCCATCTCCTTGGTCACATTGTTGACAATGATCGGGCGCATGGCCGTGTGGACTGACTCGTTGGCGTTGACTTCACCGAACAGCAGGGTCGCACCGCGGGACACGGCGTCGCCTACGAGCTTCTTGTTCTTGACCACAGCGGCGGAGTTGACCAGCACCAGGGCGGGCACGTCCTTGCCGAACAGCTTGTCAGCTGTCGCAGCAAGCTTCTGGCGGAATTCGTCGGCGATCGAGCGCAGCACGACAATGCGCTCAGTCGACATGCAGATTTGTCCGGACTGTATAGGTTAGTTACTTTGTCCATGGCCACTGATGTCATGGGTGCTACGGTACATACATGCATGAAGGAGCCTATGGCGCAGTTCATGGCGGCCTTGTCCAGGTCCGCGTCGTCCAAGACAATAGCAGACGCCTTACCGCCCAGTTCGAGCAGCACAGGCTTGATGTACTTACCAGCAGTGGAAGCAATGATCGAGCCGACGTTAGTGCTACCGGTGAAGTTGACCTTGCGGACGGCAGGGTGTCCGATCAACGCGTTGGTGACAGCGGCGGCGTCAGAGGCCCGATGGAAGATGACATTCAGACATCCAGCGGGAAGACCAGCTTGCCGGAAGACGTCGCCAATAGCCCAGAAGCACTTGGGCGAGAGCTCGGAACCTTTGAGAACAACCGTGTTACCAGCGCCGAGAGGCTGCGCAACGGCACGGACACCAAGGATGAAAGGTGCATTCCTGTGCAACCAAAAAGCTTCTGAGTCAGCTGTTCCGAGGGTCATCTGAGTACTATATCAACTTGGACACTCACCAAGGCGCAATTGACAGGATCACACCGTATGGCTCCTTGTACACGATAGCACCCTCACCATCGCGGTTGATATTAGGCACAATACCCTGGACGGAGGAGATTCGGCCAGCAAAGTCCCGGATGAATTCCACACCTAGACCGAAGGTGAACTCAGTGAAGGGGCGAGCGGCACCGGTCTCTTCGCACTGGTACTGGATGAATTCCTGTTTGCGCGACTCCATGATACTAGCCGCCTTGAGCAGGATCTCGCGGCGCTCATTGTACTTGGTCTTCTTCCATGCGGGGAAGGCAGCCTGGGCGTTGTCGACTGCGCGCTTGGCCTCCTCGACGGAGACCCCAGCACAGTAGCCGTTCAGCTTGCCCGTCGCAGGGGCGTGGACCTCGAACTTGATATCGGTCTCAACAGACTCATTATTAATGATGAGCGGGGTGAGCGCCTTTTCGTTCGTCATGGTGTAAGGGAGAGGGAGAAAATATTAACAGAAAATATTGAAAGTTGGACGGAAACGGATTGAGTCCAATGCTTATGGAGGGGTTTAAAAAAGATCAGAGGTCTGATCTTAAGTGGAAAGGAGATGGTGTGGATTGCCAATGAGCGGCATAGAGTTAAGTTCTTATTCTGAAGCTGTTTGTAAACTGTGGTCCCAGGGAGACCTCTGCATCCCAATTTTGTTGCAGACAGTGGGTTATCTCCGGTACATGGCGTTACAGAGATATATCTCTGACACGGATATACAACAAACGATGCCGTTATTGCCAGGAGTTGTGTGGGGGAAACACCGGATCGGAAGGAGGCCGGAACTTCTAAAACCCTTCCGCGTCAGGTCTAGGGGTAACAAAAACTATTGGAATATAAGGCTAGTACAGATCAGAAACTAAGCTGCATCATCGGAAATAATTCCCCTGAGCTACCATCTATTCCGCTGTTCCACTTCTCACGCTTTGGTTTGTCGGAGCGGCTTACCGCCCGCCATGGGAATACATCGGCAATGGCAACAACCGTGTTCCCGGATATCCCGAAGCTGGTATATATTCGTCTTTCCATCCGGGGGCGCTAAAGCATCCTCTGCCACTTCCGCGCGAGATCTTAGATTACACCATGCTTAATCTACACACTCTTCCTCCGGGCACCTGGCCCGCGCAGGCTATTCGCAACAATGGTTCTGACAGTCTCGTTTTAGAGCGCGCAAAGCTGCGTGAGCTTGCGGAGGGCTGGCCCTGCTACCGGTAAGCTGCGATTCAAGGAATCAAGATCCCAAATATCTTCGCCTCCAGTTCTTAATCCGCCATAGTGATGCTTGTGAGTGGGAGAACTTCGAGTCAATCTTTCACGAGGATGCCCATGTATACACCACCTGGTCCGGTCGAGTCTCCTATAAGGATTTCATTGCCGCTTCCAAGGCCGGCATGGACAAGGGGGCCTTTATCATGCACCGCTGCCAAGGGGTGACCACGGACATCACTCCCGATGCCGCTCGAGCCGTCACCAAAATGAAGGCGACAATCACTCAGCGCTTCACGATCGACGGATGCGAAGTTGACGCCGAGGCCGACTGCCGATTCTGTTTCTTCTTCGAGAAGGTGAACGGCCGCTGGGGTGCCAGATTCGTGCGTCACTGGTACGAAAAGGACAAGCTGTTACCTGTAAACCCCAACAAGATTCCTCGAATCAATGAGGAGAAGCTCAACTCGTATCCTGAGGGATACAAGTGCCTTGCCTACTGTCAGGAACTCACTATGGGTGTTTCTGTACTAAAAGATATGCCTGGGCACAGAAGGCATGTTGGCACTGTTTGTGGAGAGAAGCATGATCTACTTTATTGGTTTTCTAAGGACTGGTTGGATGGAAAGGCTACCGATGTATAAGTGAGTCAGAAATCAAAGGTTTTACTTTAGTAATGCGCCACAATTAGAATGCGGTAGCCTATTAGCTACACTTGCCACAGGGAGCCGCGTCTTGGTGAGAAGATCGCTATGGCTGGCTATCTCCGAGTGACTGGGTTCCGTATAAATAGGAGTAAGTTTGCTCAAGAAAGAAGCCCGATGCACAGATTTTTGGATGTCTCCATTGATAATGAGCGAAACGGTGGGTCCTGAGACGTATGTAGGAAACTCCTGTCCCCTTGGTTAGGAACTGACATTCAAGGCTCCACACATCTCTACCTTCCGGAGTAGTGTTCGAACGCTTGCCAACCTTCACGATTGGAGATAACTGGCGCGGGGAGGAAATTTCATCCAAGAACTCCATGTAATGCTGAGTTCCGCCCGGATATCGTTCAACGCTAGTCTGTGACGGGATAGGCCTCCTTTTTAACGTGATACGAAAAAGGGCCGGGCCCAGAAAAATCCAGTCAGTGTAGGAATCGGATATATCATAATATCGCAGATAAGTACGCTGACGTTCCAAAAGAAGTTTAGTTTTGACCGCCAAACTCAAAAGGGCTTAATGTATGCTTAAATAAGCACTTTGGCCTCGAAAATTATCGGATTCACCAGATTGTAACTCCATGGCTATTCCATCTAAGAAAACATGGACAGCGTAATCGCAAGCCAGGGCATTGTCCCATGAATCCAATGCAACGTCTATGTCGACGTCGACTGGGATTTCAATTACTTTTATGTAAGCCTAAATCCACACTATGACTGGGATGTTGAACCTAATAACTACATAGCACAGACTAAGTTTTTCTGTTGGAAAGTAGTGCTATTTCATGATTCCAAACATTGACTCGGCTTAACTTCTTCTGTTTTCTCTTTGAAAGAACGAAAAGAATGGAAAGAACGAAAAGAATGAAAAGAACGACTTTGAAAGTAGTTCCTACATACCTATTGTACTACCTGGGCGCGAAGGTAGAACCTTTTTCTCACTTCGTCCGTTTCAGGGCACAAGAACATAGCGGAAACGATCCGTACTTCCCCCGAGGGCCATCACCGCCATCCCGATATCTCCCCGAGGGTATAGCGTGGCTTCGGGGATTCTCCGGGAAGTTTCCGAGTTTCCCGTTCCTCGTGCCTGTGGCCATGCCATGCGCCTAGAGGTGAAAACGAAACGTATATCAACGTCAATCCTCACCAACCTCCTATCGCGCCACTTAAGATCATTGCTCTAAATCAAATCGGAAATGGCATCCCCTGCTCCTCAGCATTTTCCCGACCGCCCTCAATTCTCAGATTTTATGAAGCCATGCCGATTCGAGGGCGAGATTCAAAATCTGGAGGTACATGGAGATCTTCCAAATGACATCGACGGTACTTTCTACCGTGTCATGCCTGATCCTCAGTTGCCTCCTTTTATCGACAATGATCCCGTATGTATCCACCTAAGTTTACTATTCCACATTCTTCTTGGCGCCCTAACACTCAGGTAATTAGTGGTTCAATGGAGACGGAAATATCAGCGCATTCCGCATCAAGAACGGTTCAGTGACCTTTCAGCAAAAATATGTTCGCACCGAGAAGTTCGTACGCGAGAGAGAAGCTGGCCGCGCGCTCATTGGTACGCATTTCCCAGCCCACGTGGCCTCCATCCCCCCGCTTTAGATATATTATAGAGCTGGCTAAAACAACTGTTTTCAATCAGGAAAATACCGAAACAAGTTTACCGATGCCGTGGGATTCAACGTTAGAAGTACTGCCAATACCAATATTGTCAGCTTCAACGGCCAGCTCTTGGCTCTCAAGGAGGACTCTCCCCCATATGCGATGGATCCAAAGACCCTGGAAACAAAGGGCTTGTATACCTTTGACGGCCAGCTTCCCAGCGTGACCTTCACTGCCCATCCCAAGACCGATCCAATGACTGGAGAATTGGTCTGTTTCGGTTACGAAGCAAAGGGAGACGGCAGCCCCGACATTTGCTATTATACCATTGGTCCTGACGGTAAGTTCACCCAGACGGTTTGGCTAGTGGCTCCCGTTTGTGGAATGATCCATGACTGCGCGGTGACAGAGAACTGGGTGAGTGTTGCTCTTTGATACCCATTTGTGGCACGATGTCGGCATCTAACCATGATCCTCTGTGTCAGGTTCTTTTCCCTGTGATTCCCCAGTTAAGTGATCTTGAACGATTGAAGCAGGGTGGAGAACACTGGCAATGGAGCCCTGAGACCCCCTTATATATCGGAGTGATCCCCAGGTACGGAGCTAAGCCTTCGGATGTGAAGGTAAGCGGATTTCTATACCCAGTGTTGTATGTTTTACTATGTCCTCACACGCCATTCGCAGTGGTTCACATATAAGAATTCGTTCCCCAGCCATACTGCCAATGCCTATGAGCAAGATGACGGGAAGATTGTCTTCGATCTCGGACTCAGTGACAAGAATGTCTTTTTCTGGTGGGCAGATGCTCAGGGCAATTCGCCCGAGCCTAGCAAGATCCACACTCAGTTAACACGCTTTACTGTGGATCCTAAGGCGGAGGAAGAAAACCTCCCAGAGCCGGAGGTTTTGCACGATGGAAATTCGGAATTTTATCGCATTGATGATCGTTTTTTTGGAAGAAAATATAGCCACTGCTACTTTGATCTCATGGACCCCAGCTTGGGAACGGACTTTGCAGCTATCGGCCCGGTCATGGGCGGTGGATATCCTCCTTATAACTCGCTGGCACATCATGACGAAAGCACGGGCAAAACGGAAATTTACTTCCCCGGAAGCACGCATCTCGTGCAAGAACCCATTTTCATTCCTCGTGCGTGCTCTACGGAGGAAGGTGATGGATATTTGATGGCACTGGTAAACAACTATCGCAACATGTCCAGTGAGCTGCATCTTCTCGATTGTCGCGATTTCACCAAGGCCCGGGCTATTATCATGCTTCCTTTGAGACTTAGACCTGGTCTGCACGGGAACTGGGTTGACAACAACTAGCGAGTTAGCGATTCCAATATTCCTGCTATTTTTTTTTCGTAAGAAATATCAACTGTTGAATGAGAGGCCTAATCATAGATTTTCTGTAATGTTTCCTTAGCGTCATCTTAGGTGCCACATGTGAGATGTGGAAGTATCCGCAGCCCTGTTCTCTGAGGAACACTGACTGACTTACGGATGTTGTGTCGCCATTACCTTACGAACACTGCATGAGACCGGATCTAACTTACATTAACTTCGCACCTCCCATCTTCACTTTATTCGCTTCCATCGTTTGATCTACCAACTAGAGTCGTAAAACTGTCAATATTGTTCAAAGATCTTATGTCCGCCCAATTAACACCGCCTTTAAATGGCATAGGTTACCTCAAAGAGGCAAATAATGATCGCAGAGCAACAGGATAGTTATGATGATGTATTCATTTGCCCGATGTAGCTCGCTCTATATATATGCTGCTATGCGGGAGTGCTGTCAGGCCTGCCGACAGCTGGAAGGTGGTCGCCAGCCCACTGGGCGACCGTCAGGGAACTCGCCTTGCGAATTTCTGATCAATCGCCCTCGAATCGAAAGACGTAAACTAAACAAAAGAAATGCACGGATGCAAACATGATAAACACAAAGCCAAAATGAACGTCATTTACCCCTGGTCGCGGGTAGGACCAGGGCCCCGCTTCAACACACCATTCCCACGCCCTCTTCTCTCCAACTGTCCAGTCTTGTCGGCTGCCGCTTGCGCGCTCGCTTGGATCAAGGGAGTACAGTGGACCTGGCACTGCACTCCTAATGGGCGCCATCCTTCTTCTTCCGTCACACTGTCTAAGGGATCATTGTCTCCGCTCCTTTGTCGTCCCCTTCCTCGCCCAGAGCCGTAGGGTCGACTGTCTGAAATTGGCCTAGGAGGCCGGTCTTGACCATGAATTCGGCCACAACTGTGCGGGCCTCCGGTCGTGTGAGGAGTTCGTCCCGGTGGAGAGCGACTCCCTGGTATGAGAGAGCGCTTCTCATCCAGTCTCGCTCGTCCTGGTGCAAGGGGCATTCCAGTAGGACGTGTGTTACTGTTTGGCTGCCAAGATCGCAATCACACCGCGCTGTTTCGCGTCGGTTGATACGATTCAGGTAAGCCCCTAGGCCAATTCGCCCAGTTCTAAGCTGCATCAGAATCGATGTCGTCGCTTTGCGCAAGCCCGTCCAGTATTCCAGCGTCTTCTTTGTTGGTGCTTCAATCAAGCGTTTCGTCGGACGACTGGTCGCTTCCTTGGCCCACGTTCTGTCCCACTCCAGCTTCGCTTCTCTGCGAATTCGTCGTCTCGCTGCGGCTGCGAGACATATGTCTCGGTTGAGGGGGTTATGCAGCCCGTCCTGTTCCTGCGCCGCTTCTTTTGCGTGTTGGTCCACGATCTCGTTGCCAATGACTCCTTGGTGCGCAGGAATCCATCTGAGTTCTGTCCGAATGCTTCTGCCCGCAAGTTGTCGGATCAGGTTGAGGCATCCTGCTAGATAGACCTGTCCTGACGGCATCCGCGGTCGTCTCAGCGCCTTCAGCGCTGCTTGGCTGTCTACAAAGATGACTACCCCGTTTTTCGCCTGCTTAGCCCATGGCTCTGTGCTTTCCAGAACCATTTCAAGTGCCATCTCAATGGCTCGAAGCTCTGCCGCATATACGGTGGACGTATTATCATCTCCCATCTGGCTATGAGCATGTTGATCCTCAAGGTCCACGACCGCTGCCGCTCCGATCCTTCCATCAATTCCGCTCCCGTCGGTGTACAGAATCAAGGGTCTTTCTCTTGGGTCTTTCATCAGGATCTGGTTGTGATTGTTCACCGCAGCTTCTCTGTCCTCGATGATTACCTCTGGTGGCGCTTGCCATGGTGCCAGGACGAATGCCTTTCGACTCTCCCATTTCCTCGTCAAAGTATCCGGGGGAGCCATAAGACATCCGCCCGCCTTCCAAGCTTGCGCCTCCATCGGTGACCATCCAGCCCAGTCTCTCTCATCTGCCGGTCGTCGACGTAACATCGTTGGCGGGACAGCGAACTTTGGTCCTGTCCGTAGTCGAAGGGCCGTTTCTTTCACCAGTCGATTCATGTGAACAGAAATAGGCGGTAGGTGAAGCTCTGCATTCAGTGCCTCTGCTGCCGTAGTTCTGAAAGCTCCACTGATGAGACATGCTGCCTGCTTCTGGATTGCCACGAAAGGCCGACTGATTATGCGTGCCTTGGAATGACTGATGAGCATAGGTTGATACCACGCGGAAACCCCAAAGAGCATCTGCGGGATTATCACCGCTTGGTAGATCTTTCGCATTGCATAGAGTGAGGCTCCCCACGTTGATCCTGCCAGGCTTCGTAGTGCGTGGAGAGAGACACCGGCCTTGGCCACCGCTTTCTCGCGGTGATGGTGGAATTCCAGACCCGGATCCAGCCAATAGCCTAGGTACCGCTCAGCCGTCCTCGTCGCTGTCACCGTGTGTCCTCGTAGAGAAAGCGATGTGTGTTGTGGGTCGACTTCCCTGGTGTTTACAAAATGCACGAGTGCATACTTCTTCGGGTCAAAAACTGATGCATGTTTCTCGCCCCATTGGTCGGCTTTGCGGCATTCCGCTCTGAGTTTCTTGATGGTTTCGCGTTCGCTGTCTCCCTTTGTCATGAAGCAAACATCGTCGACCCACCCATTGCTTGTCACACCGTTGCTGCAGTTCTCAACGAGGTCTGCGTTGTAGATGAGATATAGAATGGGTGAGATCGGTGATCCTTGAGGGATGCCTGTAGGTGTCAGGATTCGATCGGATGTGCCCTCGGGCATGCGGATCCTTGTGCTTCGATTGGTCAAGAAGGCCCTCACCCAGGGAACGAAATGTCCCAAGCGACGTTTCTTGAGGTTGTGTAGTAGACGTTCATGGGAGACATTGTCGTACGCTCCGGACACGTCCAGCATTAGCAGAGATACCACTGGCTTGCCCTTTCCCCATGCAGTCTTGATTCGGTCGATGATAGTGTGGATAGCATGATCGGTGGATATGCCCTTTCGCCCGCCTAGATGGTTTCGTGGGAGTAAACCGTTGGTTTCTGCTGCGTAGCTGATCCGTCGCGCGACAACTGCCTCCAGAAACTTTCCGAGCGTGTTCAGCAACGCGACGGGTGTGTAGGATTTTGCGAGCTGGTAGTCACTTTTGCCTTGCTTCCGGAGCACCACCGTGATTGAGCGCTGGAAATGTGACGGGTTGTATCCCGTGTTTATGCATGCGTTGAATAACTGGACCATTGTTGCTAGAACCACCGGTATCTCGATAAGCTTGTGCCAGAGAGAGTTTGGTATACCGTCTTCTCCGGGTGCTTTCCCTGCTTTCGCTCCTCGCACCGCCTCCTGTATCTCTTGAGCGGTGACTGCTGGAAACTCGATTTGCTGTGGGTACTGGAATGAGTCCGTGTCGGATAGATCGGCTGGCGGCGGTTTGGGGAAGAAGGCAATCCGGAATGCCTCTGCCTTTTGATCAACTGTTTCTGCGAGAGTTCCAGGCATTTGGGGATCCTGTATTTTCAGCGAAGGGGTGATACCCTTCTCGTAGGCCCCATCTCGGTTTCTTGCCCATTTAGCCAATCGCCACATACCCTGTGGGCCATCTTCAATGACCTGCTGGACTCGGCGCCGGTGCGCCCTTGACAAGGTTCTCTTGACGAGTCGTGTTTTTCTGTTGCGTGCTTCAGAGTAGCACATCCAGTCGTAGGGGTCTTGAGTTCTCGTATGTTTGCGACGGAGGCGACGAACCTCTTTGACCGCAACTTTACACTCGTCGTCAAAGTCGGGGTTCGACCACGCGGATGGTTTTGCCCATGGGGTTGATTCCTCGATTGCTGTTTGGATCGCTCCCATCAGCTCCTGGCATTTGGCTTCTATCCTTTGCGGATTTGCCCGGTATAGGCCTCCTGTCCGTAGACCTCCTTCGATCTTCTGGATGAGTTTCTGATCATCGGTTGCGTTCCAGTTTCTTCTCTTCTGTTGTACTGCAATGGGTGTAATAATATCAAGCACAGTCCTGATCGGGAAATGGTCGGATGCGTGTTCGATGTCATCCGCCCTCTCGCAATTGATAAGCCTGTTGACAAGGTTGGATGTGATGAAGGTGAGGTCAATCACCGACGACTGATCGTTTCGAGACCAGGTAGGTCTGCCTTGTTGGGTCGTCAACTCGAGTCCCCATTCATTGGCGATTTCTAGGAGTTGCTCGGCCTCCTGATCGAGCCTGGTCCCTGTTCCTCCCCATCTCGGGTGATGCGCGTTCATATCTCCAAGGATGATGTGTTCTCCATGAGGTCGTTTTGACAGCTCATTTCTCAGATGTCTAAGAGTATTGCTGCCCGGCCTATTGTATATGTTGTGTATGAAGAGATCTGTCCAGTCTCTGCCCTGATGAGCCTTTCTAAGTTTCAGTAACTGGTAGTCCTGTGAGACGAGTTGACACGACCAAGTGCTCGGGTCAAGCCTTTTAGACACAAACAGGCATACGCCCGGTTGGGAGAGATCCGAGGCTTGGACTTGATTGTCCTGGCCTTGGGTTGTTCCGTCGGCAGCTGCTTTTGGTGGGTAAATTAGCTGGAATGTTGCCGTCGCTGGTTGGTGTGTTGTGTGTTGCATTTCGTTCTTCCATGGCTCCTGCACCGCGACGACGTCCGCCGCGAGGACATTTCTGTCTCTGAGGAACGTTGCCATCACTGGCCACGATTTGTGTACGTTGTATTGAAGAATCTCAAACGATTTCATTGATCAGTTTGTTCGTCATCGCTTCGTTCGCTGGCCTCGTGCCATACTTCATCATTTGGATCTTCGATTGTTGGTGCATCCGTCGTAAAAATCGGCGGAGAAGATCCGATTGGTATCGCTTGTCGCTGCTTGTATTTCAGAACCACCAATTTGCGGTATTCGGGGCTCTCCGGGTCCAGTTCGTCCTCGTCATCAGGCTCGGACGTGTTACCGGCCATGTTGACAGAGGTGACCTCGTTAATGAATTGGGTAAGTCGGTGTTCCCGGCTATCCTGCGGAGTGTCAGGTTGAGGGAGATCGGCCGGAGTGGGTTGAATGCTGAGCCATTCATTGTCGTCTGGTTGCTCGTCCATGGTGTCGTCCGGCTCGCCTGTGCGGCGCCTTTTCGAGGCCGCTTGGAGCCTTGTTGACCCTTGGCATGCTAGTGGTATCATTGCTGGTTTCGGATTCTTTGGCCTCGTTCTTGAGCCTTTTGGGCGACCAGGACCTCTTTTGAGCTGAGTAGGCTGAATAGGCTCAGTGTTTTCCTCTGGTGATGTTTCTACTTCTATTGCTGCAGCCTCCACGTCGATTACAGCATCCTGGGGGTTCCGCCGGGGCTCTTCCCCCCGTTGCTCCTCCGGGGCGTGTATCGACGCTTCGAGTCCATTCGTGGCCATGGGGTCTGCGCTGGTCGAAGTTGCTTCTTTGCCGGTGCTTGCCGTCACTCGGAGGTGCAGAGGAACGCGGTGATATGCAGGGCAGTTGGCCAGCGCTTGCTTGGCTTCGTTCATCGCTGCAACCTTCACCGGACATTCCCGACTTGTAGGTCGATGCCCTTCACCACAGTTGGCGCACTTGACTGGTATCGCTTGCCCCTTCGTCGACGGACACTCCCAGGTCGGGTGTCCGTTGGCGCAGTGACCGCATTTGAATAAGTTGGAACAGTGTGACTGGATATGCCCCGGCTTTTGGCATTTTCTGCATAGCTTTATCCGCCCCTCACGACAGAATCGTGATGCATTGTGAATTTGCTTCCCCCACACGACTCCCGAGATGATCGCGCGATTAGCCACGACTGGGCTGGTGAACTCGATCAGGATGGAGCCCTCCGCCCTCTCCCCCGGACGGGTTAGCCACCCTAGATACTGGATCTTAGCGCCTTCGCCCCAGTTGTTCTGCGCGAGCAGCTCGGCCGCAACGTCAGCCATCGTCTCCGGGGTAACCTTCATCGATTTCACGGGGATATGGTACGCCACCACTCCCCATGACGGTTCTTGGATCACCGAGCCTGGTCCAAAGGCTCTCAGCCACGCAGCATGTTTGCGGAGGACCTCTGCCCCAGCAGCACTGCTGGCGATCATTGCCACATCCCCCGACGGCAATTTTCGAGCAGCGACAAATGAAGCCTGTCCGGCCAGTACCCCTGAATTCTTCTGACGGGCATTTGATACCCTCTGTCGTTCAGCCCTCTCGACCAAATCTTTTGGTGTTAATCCACGGACTTGCTCGCGGTTCGTTCCGACCTTGACGATGACCTCTCGGTCCTCGCGAAGTTCGATTTCCGGTACTCCTAGAGACGATGTGCCGCCGCTCCGGGTGATAGGAGCCGCAGCCGTAGCCAAGTCGCGGCGCCATTCTTTGGCCCGGAAGTTGCGCCACGCTGCCGCAGAGTTCGCCGCGGGGGTAGATAGTGCCGTCGATAATGTGTTCGTTGTCTTTTCAATGGTATTAATTCGCTGGTTCAGGCGTTCGGTGCCGGCGTTGATCTTGGTCAGCGCCTCAAGCACCTTGGCCATCCCCTGACCGTCTCCCCGTTGGGCGTTTAGTGCGTACTGGCGGACGGCACGAATATATCCAGTGACGTACCTGTCCTCTGTGCCATTGTTCTCGATGTGGTTAAGCACCCGGCGGGCCCCTTCCGCGATGTCGTCCATGGATCGGGGCGGATCCGCGAGGGCCGTGGTTTTTGGCGTTCCTCTCCTGTCAGGGGGCAAAATCTGTGCGTTCGCACCCGTCCCAACCATCGCTGCCATCTCCCCTATGAAAAGGGTATCAGGCCGTAGCGCTTGAGGTTACGATTGCGATGAACTAATTCACGAGGCCGTGAGACCTCTGATTGGCTAGATATTTCAAGAAAACGTTTTTGCCAAGAAAGAGTTGTTCCCGCTATGCTGCATTTCGACATATTATACTATTCGGCCGGGGGCGCTTTTCGAAAGAGGGCTAATTAACCCTTAGGGGAACCTTAGCGGCACAGTTCCTACTAATATTTTTTTTTTTTTTTTTTTTTTTTTGGAACGTACGCCATCAGTATCTTCCGAAATATTCTTACTCGCCCTGTTCGGTGATAATCAGTAGCGCATTGGTTGCTCGAAGAACAGACTTTCGGAACCATAGACGGTCGTAGCCACAGCAACGACTACCGTCTGTTGTTGGACGGACGAGAAAATGGAGGACCACTGCTCCTGGAGTTACAGGGTCTGCAGACAAGTTAAGAGAATCGAAGGAATCTTCACGAAATTTGGAAACGAAGGAATTTCTTCAGCTGGGAGAGGCCTTGCGTCGAGGATATAGGAAAGTTCGAAGTCATCTATATCGGCGCCAGTATTACATAGGCATATTTATTACAGTAAGACATGTCGATGCGTTGATCTGACAGTCGGGAAGATCTAGTCATTGTTGGAATAGAGGGAACCCTCTAACCCTCTGTCACCGGCACATGAAGAATTGTGGGTATATTAATAAGTTTCGAAATATCATGAGACCTATTACGGGTGGTGAACGTACCAAAGACGAGTACACTCATTGATATGGGCTTGGAGAAGGGAAATATGGCCAGCAGGATTCACTGGAGGCGGCACGGCAGCTCGACGATGCGATCGCACCAGCCAAGCGGCTAGTTGCCTTTAGCAAATGGGACCTGTCCATGCCCGAAGAGCAAGGTCGTCGCTTTCCGCATTGGCATGCGGACTCACCTTTTCAGGAATGCGAGGACTTCATTAGAGCGCTGGAGAAGGAGAGGAAGCGCGTTATGGGCGATGAGAAGCATTACTGTATGGATGATATATCTCACAATTAACATTGGAAAGGATTGTTACTGACTTGGAAACAAAGACCTGGATACCCTCGCCAATCATCACGATTATCAACGGCGTGGGGCTGGCTCTATGCTTGTCAAATGGGGCTGCGATTTGGCTGATAAGGACGGCGTTGCAGCTTATGTGGATGCTAGCAAGGAAGGCGCACCGCTATACCAGAGACGCGGCTTTGTAGATTTCAGTCTTCCCGGCTCTGAAGTGGCCGCGATGGCTCGCGGCAAGAAAACTGCATAAGCGATACTCATTGCTTTTAATTCAGGGAAGGGCGGATCCAAGCGAATGTATTGACATGTATGGAAGTCCTTTCAAAAGCCCGGTGCTCAAAAACTTATCTCTATTCCTTGTAAGTGCTAATGAAAACATCCAAGCTGTCCAAACGGCAGGTTCCTTCTCGAAAAAAGCAGTGTATTCAGGTGAAGGCAGATGTTTGTTGTGGATACCCAGGAAGATAAACAGGGCGGCCACTTCATTGAGACGCTCATTATCAGCTTACCTGAAATTCCACTTTGACTGTATTGTGTAAACTTTCCGTAGGCGTGACCCACCTCCTTTCTTAGCAGCTTTGTCTCCTCCCAACTAGTCTCTTGGAAATCGCTTAGGTCCTGTGCTACCGAATAGCGAGGCGCCCGATTCGTGTATGGCTAGCGTATGGTTTCCATGGCCCGTCCCAGGATACGCGCTATCGGGAGTAGCGAACTTGCTTGTCTTAAGAGGGGAAAAATCGTGGCCCGTCCTACGATGAGTTCGATCGGGAGAAACGGCCTGACCTGCGATGGCTTGAAGAAAGGGGTAATCGTGGACTGTCCTGTGATGAGCTTGGCCCTACTGAAGAAGGGAACTCGTGGTCAGTCTCGGGATCGGGGGCACAGACAGAAAACTGTGGCCCGCCTCAGGATTTGCGCTCTTCGGAGTAACACAGCTGCGCGGAATGTCTTGGAAGGATGGAAAACTGTGGCTCATCTTAGGATGTACTGGATCCAGAGCAGTTTGTTCTAAACCTCAGTATATATTACCTTGTCAGTAAGACGCATCTGTTGCACTAAAGTTGAGCCTTGAACATGGATATCCGGGCCCTTACATCAACCCACTTCTCACCAGCCTTCCCGGCCCTAAGACTCGCTCTAGAGTGCTATTTCGGAATGGAGTTCATTGCTAAATCTCATTTGAAAGATGGCGAAGAATATCCTGTTTCTTTAAGTAGTGTTTTTGTGGCATGAAAAAGTAGCTTCGCCAGGTGGCTGTTCGAAATAGCTTTCTTCAAAGTCGCTGTTTTAAACCGCGAAATGGGCGCTCCATCGATGGACGCACAGTGTAAAGTCGGTAGAAATACTAGCTAGCCGGTTGCACCCTGTCGGTAGCTGATACCACGTGTACGTCCTTTTGGGTTAGACTCTAACCCAAAAGGAATATGATTATTCATGAATATTCATGAATAATTGCGAATATGAATTATATGAATTGCATAATATGTGTTGAGATAGGTAGTTGTAGTGTTCTTGTTGAGGTTACTATCAAAAGTGGGAACCCCGTCTATTTAAATGTCCATCTATTCTAACCATTGCTACACTGGCACAAATGGAGACGGATGAGATATTTTTGGCCCGCACGGGGCACCTGCGGTCTGAACACTGGCGATGTAGGCCTCGTTGACGGAGGGCTACAGCGCCGTGAGGGCTGCAGGCGGGCCCGTGGCACTCCGTATATTCTAGGAGGAAAAATAGCTATGCGGGAGCATACGTTGTATATACATGAGGGGGTTCCGCGGTGGGCGGGAAGAAACCGTCGCGGAGAGAGCCCGGCTCTCCCTCGAAACGGCGATGTTCTTTTCGAGGGAGGGGAAGGCCAGGCGATATTTGTGTGCGAAGTCCAGCACGGGATATCGTGGGCCCGACGCAAGGGGGCTCTCACGCAACAGTCCCAAATAGAACCTATCATCGCTAGTCCTGCCATAAGCTTTGACCACCGCGATACTCAACAACGAGATTCATTTATTCATATTCGCGGAGTGCGAATATGAATATGCCCTATATTCGCATTCATTTATTCCTTTCGGAGCCCTAGGTTAGAGTCCTACTTCACATACCTGTTCCTCACCTCTGGCCATTCGATACAGCTAATTGCAAAAAAACTAGAAACACTGCTTCCGTCCTTGGGGAAGTTATCGCACCTTCTCGGACGATGGAGACTCCTAGAAGGAGATCGTATGGTTTGGTACGAACTGGAATCGCGGCTCGGCAAGTTCTTGCGGAGTCGCGATTCTGAACCGCCAACAATGTGTCTGACCAATGGGCGCACAGTATCCAGCCAAAACTGCCAAATTTATTCGGTAGTTCTGGACCGTAATAAAGTACGGACGGAGTACCTTTCACGTATACTCCTCGAAGCTATTTACATTAGTTTCAACTCTATTCCTGGTGTTTCATCGAAACTTTTTTGTTATGCTTATCTGGCTAGGGTGGATGTGAGAATTAAAAGGCTTATTGGGCCTTGGCTACTGAGGGTAAAAGTTTATCATGGGATAATCAAGGTCCTCTAAGTCAACATGAAGTGTTGCCTGACGTTTCTTCTCTTTTTCTGCCAAATACATGTGGTAGTGCGCGAACGGGTCTTGGCATCAATCGCCACGATAGGACATCTGCAACAACATTTCTAGATGTAGGAATTTATTGTTTAAGCGGATAGCAACACGTGTAAGTCCGTTTCATTTGGGGTTTAGCCTGGTAGGAGCACGTCATAGCGTAGTCGAAGTAGTGGGTGGTTCTCACGGGCAGCCAAATAGGTGGAACTGGGCGACGCGCCACTGTAGACCTTCTCGTGCACGGGATTTAATATACTGGGTCCGGTTCCATGTTCACTCTCCACAGTATCATCATAGGAACACGGGTTGTTATCTCCAGGGCCAGGAACCGTGCCCCCAGATGCCATTTCTTTTATACAAGCGCGGGCCTTACTCCTCGCGACTTTTGCTTCCACAGGGACACGGCCCAGCTCCCTGGAATCTTGGTCATGGTAGTCCACGCTCTGCGTTCTTTATATGCCGCAGGGGTCGACTCGTCCCTCTCTCGTCGCTGGGAGTTTCGCAAAGAGTCCCCGCTCGAGGGTAGCGACCGCTCGCTTTTTATTGCCATGGGCGTGATAGCTCTCTTCTCTTTGGGGTCCACTCTTAGCCTCGTCTCATTCCTGACGTACCGATTCATCTACTGGCAGCGGTACTATAAGCACTCGCTTGCTCAGAACCAATACGTTGTGCTTATTTACAATCTCCTGCTGGTTGACTTGCAGCAAGCAATCGCCTTTCTAATCAGTTTGTACTGGGTGTCTCGTGGAGGCATCCGCTTTGGTGAGCCCGCCTGCTATTTGCAAGGATGGTGGATTCAGACAGGAGACCCGGGTAGTGGGTTGTTCGTCCTGTCAATTGCTCTTCATATGGTGGCCGTGGTGCTGCGTGGCCGACAATTGCCGTTCAATATCTTTGTATACTTGGTGATCGGGCTATGGATATTCATTCTCGTTTTGGGATTCATTCCGGTTGGTTTGTATGGCTCTGAGGCGTTTGTCATCTCAGAGGCCAATTGGGTATATACTCCTGCTTCCCTTGTGCCTGAAGACCAGTGAGCTGATTCGCTTGATTATACAGTGCTGGTTGAGTCCAGAGCACGAAAATGAACGACTTTGGGGTCACTATATCTGGATTTTCTTTTCCGAGTTCGGTACAATCGTCCTCTATGCGATAATGTTCTTCTACCTTCGACGTCGTATGACGCAAGCGAAGATGCTCCGCCGTGGCCAGCAAGAGAGCCTGCACCGTCTCAACCGAGTTGTTATTTACATGGTGATCTACCCATTCGTTTACCTGATTCTGTCGCTGCCACTTGCTGCGGGTCGTATGGCAACCGCTCGCGGTGACCCCCCAGTAAGACTTACTTCGGTATCGCTGGCTCCTTGATGGCTTTGTCTGGTGTCATGGATGTGATTGTCTATACCCTTACTCGTCGCCACCTGCTCATCGATACCGAGCACAGTACGACTGACGGCAACTATGATAACACAGACTCACAATGGCAGACCATCGTTACCGCAACCGCTGGTGGTGGAACTCGCTCTCGAAAGGGAGGGTCCCGCATGGGATCTCGACTGAGCTCGAAGTTCAGGCGGAGTATGCCCACTGTTGACAAGGAGACCCGACATCGTCCGTTCGAGGACTCAACCGAGGATATTGTTCCGAAGAACGACGTGGAAATGACCAACTTTGGTGGCGTGTACCAGGAAACCACCATTGAGATCTCTCACGAACCCGCAACCCCTGCTGGGTATATGGATAGGAGCGCACGCCGGAGCGGCTAGGAGCTTAATTATGCTGTATGATTCTTTGTCGCCCTCTGGGGCATTTGCTTATATACCACCTATTTAATATCTGTGTCTGCCACTTCCATAAATTTTTCCAATCTACGATCCCTCGTGTTTTGCATATGAATAATATTTGCCCTGTCTCCAGCGAGCACGCTGGATGAGAGCACCGCTCAAAATGGGCCACAGAGGTGGACGTGGACTCAAAGGACTCTAATGGCCGAACACCACGTACTCTGACGCTCGTTGCCAAGACTCTCCTTCACCCCTTTGCAAAGATCTTGCTTTCCTACCGAGCCGACGTAGATGCGATGGTCGATAATTTCTCTCCTCTCATGACAGCCGCAAAATACGGTTCAGACCTGGTCACCAATCTCTTGCTGCGTAAGAGAGAGCCGCGCTTGAATACAAGAAACGCGAACGGCCTGTATGCTCCGTGGTACGGCGTGGAGAAAGGGTCATTTGCGGTCGTGAACCGGCTCCTCCAACACCGTCGTGTTAAGATCGATCTTCCTAATTGTCAGGGCCAAACAGTGCTCGGCTTGCTGTCTACCGAGGCAACAGAGAACTGGCAAGCCTACTACTCTCAAGAGGCGCCAACCCCGATATCAAGGACGTCGATGGATTCTCGCCATGGATCGAGGCATGCATCAGCAATAAGAACTCCATTAAAGATCTGCTCCTAGATTTTATATTCGCTGAGTCCACCGAGAGGGCTTCAAAGGATAGCGTATTTGCTGGGAATGGAGGTGAGGGCAGCTGTCTTTATGGACAAGGCCAAGTTCAGCTACCAACAAAGCGGGTGAGATTTGCCCATGTCTGACAATGTTTTCCCACCAGAACAGCTCACTGGCTGTATTTTGTGTTATCATTTATTTTGGGAACGGGAAGTAATAACACAAGACATAAGACGATGCGCATATTGATTCGTAGATTAACTAATCATCACCCGTTGCCTTCACTCAATCGTGCAATCTCAATGAGCTGCTTACCTTCATACATGTGTATTTGAATTCAATCGAAGGGTACAGCGCACGTTGAGAGCAGGGCGAAGGCAGTGGTAGTGTAAGAATGCGCTGAAATGGTGGATGTCTGTCTATATGGGAGGATGGAAAAGGATTGGAGAGCAGGATATTCGCCTCAAAGTGACATTTCTACCTACAGCAACATATAGTTCAAGAATAAATACAAAATTAGCAAGACAGCGTGTTCACATGAACCCGTCAAGCTTATACAGGAAGTGGAAAGAAGTACACTTAGTGACATATAGAAGCCGAGTCCATAACCAAGGTTGAATCCTCACTCCATGAGTTAGTCCAGTGGTGTGCATTTAGAACCAACCGAAAGGGAAACCACCGGAAGAACCCTCACCCTTACCCTTACCACCAAAGTGGGAACCCTGAGGGGTCTCAGTAGGGAAAGTGGTAGGGAAGGCAATAGGGATGGAGGAAGGAGTAGGCTTAACGCCAACAGTCCTCCAGCTCCAAGTAGGCTTAGGACCGGCAGGCGAAGCACCAGGACCAGCAGAGGACAGCACAGGGGCAATCTGACCCCGGAACTGTCGTTTCGAGTTCGACGAGCTGAGCTTACCAACACCAGCATTGGACAGAACGGATGAGCGGACGCGGCTAGCAGCCAGGACGTTGACGCTGGATTCACCCTTGGGCATGGCGCTCAGCACGGACTCATCGCTAGCGGAAAGGGTGCCAGATTGGACAAGGGAGTTTGGTGCGCAGTCGCGGCCGAGCTTGGATTTGCAGGTTGCTGCTGAGCTGGAGCTTACGGCGAAGGTTGCGCCTGGGGAGCTGTCCTTTAGCATGGGGATCTTGACTTGGTGGAAGACGTTGCCTTCAATTAGAGCGTTGGTGCTTTCACCGATGTCGAAGGCGTGGCCGGTGTTGTTGAACCAGTAGTTGTTGTAGGCATGCCAGAAGCTGTTGAATTCGAGCTTGGGGGAGCGGCCGGAAGTGTGGTGGATGTAGTTTCCAGTGAATGTTACTTGGTCGTCTTTGCCGTATCCGAGGCTGGGGTGGGTTAGTTTGTGTTGATGTTTGTTTGTGGATGTGATTGCTTACACTGTCCAGTAATGGTGGCCATCGCAGGAGGCGGACCAGCTGGTCTGGCCGTCAAATTCAGAGTTGGAGATGGTGACCGCGCCGCCTGGGTTTTGGTAAGTATAGATCTATGGAGAGAGGATGAAGGAATACATACTAGCCTTATAACCAGAGACGAACATCTGACGACCAACGAGGTTGACCTTGACGTGATCAATCCAGATGTTGTTGGTACCATTGAGACTAATGGCATCACCACCCCAGATGAACTGAGGGTTCAACTCGGTGATGTGAATGTTCTGAATGATAACATTGCTAACACCGGTCAAGCGGAGACCCTTACCACGAATGACACCATTACTGCCAACACCGACAATAGACTTGTTCGATGCAACATTGATACCCTCAATGCCGGCCTTGTCATAAGTACAAGTGGTAGTCGGGTAGCTGCCACACCAGTCGGAGTTATCGATGGCATTCTGGCCAGCGCTGCCGCAGGTGTTGGATTCGGGGATACAGCACTTGCAGTCGGTGCACTTGCCCTCCGTGCCGAGGTAGTTGAACTCCTTTTCAATGAGGATGGTACGCGGGGTGCTGTCGGTCAACCACTTGGTCAATTCGGTGGTATCGCTAGGCGCAGCGGCGACGGCACTGCCACCGCCAGTTGTGCCTGATGCGAAGCCGATTGCGGTGCCTGACACACCAGCGGCCTGGGCGTGGGCGCCCAAGAGGGCGACCGCTGCCACGAGGGATTTGAGGAGGGACATTGTTTGCTGGAATTTGTCCAGAAGGGAATGGGAATGAAAAAGAAAAGAACGACTGGACCAGCAGTACGTTAAGGAATGGAATACGTTAAGGAATGGAATACGTTAAGGAATGGAATACGTTAAGGAATGGAATCAAAGGAATGAATGAACGAGGGGAGGAAGAGAAAAAATTGCCTTAATGAAGACATAATGAACATGCGAAAGCTGCTTTATATCTTAGAAGTGTACGCAGTAGGCTGCACTGTTGGTAGTGGACACGGAGCGGCCGCGTAGGTGGGCTTAGCCTGTTAGAACTTGAGTAGACTAGAGCCTTGATCATTGCCTTTAGAAGCAAGCCCCGATTTGCAAGTGTGAATTGTCCCCGACAGTCGCAATGATCGTCAGGTGGCCTTCCAGTTCCTGAAGACCCACGGTTGGTGTTTCAGACGACTCTAACCGGGGGTTTTCTCAATGGGCGACTGTACTTCACACAAGGGTCTCGTCAATCACAAAGGTTGTCCAAACTCGACTGTGTTGTGGTTTTTAATCGCCGCGAGAACAGCCAAAATGAAAGGCAGACGCACTTGCTCGACAAGATTAAGGTCATTTTTCTGGGTCGCTGAGAGCCCCAGCGGTTGGGCAGTGAGACGTAGATATTCCCTGAAAGGGTTATTACAGACTGACTGCTATTCCTTACTTCAGCAACTCCCCCGCAGACTTCGCAGTAAGGCCTTTACCACACGGCGATTTGTCAATAATGTGAAACCAGCAAACTTGATAATAGTTCTATGGATAATGTAAGCTTGTTGAAAGTTTTAGGAAATGCTAAAGATTGCTCGCACTCCATTCCTTCTCCCCGCCTGTTTTCTCAAGGCCCCACCGCGGTTTCACCTCATGTACCCTGCTACTCTTTCCATGTAATGCTCTCTCGTCCATAATTACAGGTTACTATACACGGATTTAGATTATCAAGCGAAGGTATAGAGGTATTAACTTACATAGCAGTAGCTGTTAGAGCTAGTAGTTTATATTAGCTTTGGCTAATAGCTTTGGCTAATAGCTTTAAAAAGGAAAAAGAACTTACGTTCCATAGATATCTGCAAAGCAGTGACTAGATATAGAAGTCAGCTTTTGTTAAGAATACGCTTATAGTAAAATAAGGATTATTTTACCCATCCAAGCGTTGCTTATTACACTATATGAAATTAACCTTAGTATTATTTCTTATACTGTATAATAAACATCAAGCCTAGTGTCAAATCTTGTCCGAGCTTTTTTCCGGAGGTCCACTTCTTGGCTAGCATTTAAGAGGGCATTTTGCACCCTCAAATCCTTCCAAGCTGGCACTCCCGGCTCGCGACCCCTGTCCTGGGCAATACGCTACCGCATCCAGCTACTCGCGGGAATGCCTTATAGTAATGCGGTCTTACAAAGATGACTTGAGTGAAGACAACATACATTCTATCAGAACAAGCATCCCCGTACAACATCTCTGTTACTTTACACCTGAATGAAAGATGCCATTTTCCATTGCTGGCGCGAGAAAGGCAGAAAGAGTGAGAATACGGGTTGCTAACGACGGACGCCTAGTTTGAACCTTACAATTCGGTGTTTGAATTTGGGATGATCTACATTCATTTTATCTATTCAATGATGCTTCTTCGGAATACGAAGCGAACGATGAAGATAATGCACAGGCCTTTGCTTCATCGAATACTCTTGGAATACTCGAATACTGATCCCCAGCACCACGGAGAGGTGCCTGCACATTGCTGGGGAGCCATAACAAGTCCATGGCGAGCCAAGTCTTGCATGACCGAGTGCATTTTTACAATCACAGGGCTCATTGGTTGTGAGGGAGCACATTTTTACATACACAGGGCTCATTGGCTATGAGGGAGCGCAACTCTTACATCGCTGGGCTCGTGGCAGCGACAGCCGTGGTTACGGAACCTCTCAAGCCCGCAGGCAGATAGGGACACTTTGATGTGTCAAAGAGAGCCCTACCGTAGCGTAGTCCACCAAAAGTTCATGGTTGTTGCCGTTTTGTGAAGTCTTCGACACAAAACCACACCAATGATATTGCAGAGATTACTCATACTCGGGAAGCAGATTGATGATTTTGTACTCCGTAGTTCGGACCGCTCGTTTTCGAATGAGAGGATGGACGTATTTAATTATAGCGAATTATAGCGAG